CAGCACTTTGGGAGGCCGAGGCGGGTGGATCACGAGGTCAAGAGATCGAGACCATCTTGGTCAACATGGTGAAACCCCATCTCTACTAAAAATACAAAAATCAGCTGGGCATGGTGGTGCTCAGGGGGCTGAGGCAGGAGAATTGCCCGAACCCAGGAGGCGGAGGTTGCGGTGAGCCGAGATCGCGCCATTGCACTCCAGCCTGGGTAACATGAGTGAAACTCCGTCTCAAAAAAAAAAAAAAGAATATGCTGTCAGCTTCTAAAGGACAGGTATCACAACTATGAAGGAGGCCTAGGAACTCCAGTTATAATAAGATAAATGTAGATGAAAACCACACCAAGACACCATTTCTCAATCATCAGAAAAGCAGAAATACAATATTGGAAAACATACTCTCTCTGTTGGCCATTCCAAGGGCTAATAGGTATTCTTATATATTATTGGCAGGAATGCAAAATGGCATAACTTCTATAAAGGGTAATTTGGCAATAATAGACAAAATTGTACATGCATTTACCCTTTGATGCAGCAAACTCACAGTGAAGACTCTATCCCAAAAAAAAAAAGAATATGAAAGCATTGGAATATCACCACCAGACAAACCCTAACAAAATGACGGATCTAAACAATGATCACCAATGGCTGCTAGTAACACATAAAGAGAGACATCTCTTTATGAAGTTCACAATATCCCCAGTAATGTAGTCTTGCAAAAAAATCAAACTTAGTCAGATTGAGCCTCTAAATTTAACCACCAAATTATAGGAACTATATAAGGGAACTATATAACTATATAAGGAACTACATAGGAACTATATAACTATATAAGGAACTATATAACTATATATATAAGGGACAGAGGAACATATTAAACAACACCATAGGTGATGCAATCAACAAAATCCAGACTGCAGGAAACAGTATAGGATAAACCATCTGGCTGAGAATCTTCTGAGATTTGTGAAAGATATGAATCCTTAGATTCTGAAATCACAGCAAATCCTAAGCAAAACATATAGAAAACAAAATCCACATTTGCACACATTGTATTGAAAATGGTATACAATAAAAACAAGATCTTGAAAGCAGCCAGGGAGAAAAATATTACCCAGAAAGCATAGCTCATGAAAAACTGAAGGAACAAACAGATTGAGACCAAAATCTATTGCTTGTAAGTGACATACAAGGATCTAAGCTCCCCTTCCCAGAGAAGGGTACTTATCAGCAACAAAGAGAAACAACATAGGTACGTAAACTCTGCTTAAAATCACTGTTTAGAAATCACTCTTGGCCAGGCACAGTGGCTCACAGCTGTAATCCTAGCACTTTGGGAGGCCGAGGTGGGTGGATCACCTGAGGTCAGGAGTTAAAGACCAACTGGCCTACCTGGTGAAACCCCGTTTCTTCTATAAATACAAAAATTAGCCAGGCATAGTGGTGTATACCTGTAATCCCAGCTATTTGGGAGGCTGAGGCAGGAGAATCGCTTGAACCCAGGAGGCGGAGGTTGCAGTGAGCCAAAATCACGCCACTGCACTCCAGCCTGGGCGATGAGAGCAAAAATAAAATAGAAATCACTCTTGCCTATTTTTCTTGTTTCTGTTAAGAATGGGAAGAAACTGTGTGCAGGTAGGAGAGTTGAAATTAGATGTCCCTATGAGCCCCTCGATTTCTGCTCTTAGGAAATGAATAAAAGGAGTTAGCAAGCCTTCCTTGCTTGGCACAGTCACTTGGTTGTGATTGCAAAGATTTGGTTGAATTCTGAGCAACAACTCTGGTGTCTGCCATCACCACCAAGTGGGAGATACCACCCTAGGGGTGAGGATGGGTTGCACAACTAAAGAAGCCATTATTTGGGCTGAAGACAGAAGCAGCAGCAGGAGGACTACTTAGATGGTGCATCTGATATGACAGGAGATTAAGGAAGTACAAAACTCTTCTGGCTGGTCCCTGTCTCCTGGGATCCTGCAATTTCTATTATGTAACATCAAAAGGAATCACAGTACAAACTGCCTCAGAGAAGAGAAGCAGTCTTAATTTTGGCAGACCCCAGAACCACTTCTATGATCGTTCAAGCCTCGCTGAACAGCCAACCAGAGCAGGGCAATACTTGCTCTGGCTTGGAAACACTGAACATGGCACTTGGTGGGCCAGCCTCAGCCAAGGCCATAGGACCTTAACTGGCACAGACAGAGATCTAAGCAATTTGGCCCCTCAGACAAAGCCTTCTACCATCCCTGACAGCAAATCACCCATCTCAGCTTGGGCTGAGACTTTCACTTCCTTCCCTTCTGGCACACCAGCACAGTATACATGACTTGGGGCGTCCAATTGTCTCATTTAGTTCCCACCCATGATATATGGGAAGAAACTGAGGCTTAGAGATACTAAATAACCAGTTGGTAAGTGGAAGAACTTGCAGGTCTGTGTGACTGCCACACCCACATTCTTCCCCACTGCCATAAAAAATTTCCACGTGTTTAGGCCAGCGTGGTGGCTCAAGCCTGCAATCCCAGCACTTTGGGAGGCTGAGGTGGGTGGATTGCTTGAGCTTAGGAGTTCGAGATCAGGCTGGGTAACATGGCAAAACCCCATCTCTATAAAAAATAGCTGGGTATGATGGCATCCACCCCGCTCACCAGCATGTCCTGTTATTAACAGGTCTTTGAGGGTACCAGAGAAGTGGGTCTCCAGCCCTAGCGCCTGACCATTTGCTTCAGAGTCTCTGGCC